TTTTGTAATATATTGTATTTTGTAGTACATATTTCATATCTACTGTAAAAGTTTATTATAATTTTAGTGTTTTAGTATTGAATTCTTAGCGTGCCATGGATATTTTGGTAAACTCACAGTCTTTGAGAAAAAATACAATTTATTTTAGGCCATTATAAAATTGTAATTTACATGTACGAAAACGCATAAAATATTGTATAAAAACAAACAAAACTGAAATTGAGCAAATATCAATACTGAGAAAAAAGAATAAACAGAACAAAAGGAACATGAATGTTAATGATTTATATACATACTTATAGAAAATTGTAATGACTACATAATAGCACCTGAAATTGAAACAATAAAAACTTACTTTCACTGTAAAACAATTTCCATTAAAATTATTTTCTATTTATGCTATTTTATAATTATTGATAAATTTAAATTGCTATTGGATAAAAAACAAGTATTTGTAATGAAATTCTAAAGCGTAATTGAAAATTATTATTAAAATTTTTGTGAAAATTATTAAATTACAAACTATGAAAAGAAATAATAAATAATAAAAGAATTGCAGATTAACTCTAATCTTTTAAGGAAAGAAAGTATTTCATATCTTCTTATTATGTTTAAGCTATCTAAATATTTAAATACTTATAATGAAGTAGAGATCAGTAATTCTATTGCTTATAATAAATAATAGATTTTACTCATGAAAAAATTTAAGCCTTAAATGAGCAATAAACATGTCTATAACAATGAAAATAATATTTTACTAATTTTACTAAAAGTATCATTGTACGAAATATTGAACGATATCGCAATTATCTTACAATTACTATATAAAAAGAATTGTAAGAATACTTCTTAAAAAGAGTATAAATGACTAAATAGAGCATAACTTAAGGATCTTAAATGAAACTATTGTAAAATATTTTACATATAATATATATGTAAAACGATCACACACAGATATAATTTTCTTTATTTTGGGTAAAAATACATGTGATAATACTTTCTCTCTTTTGTTATATCTTTTTCTGACATTCCTTTTTTTAATTTAGTCATAATGTTCGACCTAGCTATATTTTGTTCTTTACATTATTTTTAAATGATACTTGAATCTAAAAATTACATTTATGACTCCTAACTTGCACCTTTCTTAACATTGTTATGAAAATCTAAAAGTTCTTTATACAATATAAAATGTATCTGATGAAATGTTCAAATATCCTTTTATACAATCAAGTTTAAGAAAAAAGTAGCTATAATAGATGTATATTATAATACATAAATGACTTTTTTTTTCTTAAAATATGAGCCAGTACATACAAATAAAACTTCAATGTAATATTAATGTTGTGTTAACATAATA